TTGACTTCCTTAGAGATCACTTTTCCCATTTTGCAAAATTAATATAAAGTGAGCCATCCTTGTTACCCTCTAAAGTTGAACTACTGTATGTAATAGTACCTGTACCAAGTTAAATAGTGTCCTCCAAAATGCATGTCTTTACCAGAACTCAAAATGTGACTCTATTTGGGAATAGAGTCATTGCAGAAGAATTTAGTTAAGACGAGATCATATGGGAGTAGAGTCCTGAATCTAATATGAATAGTGTACTTGTAAGAAGCAACAAAGACAGAGGGAAGATAGCCGTGTGAAAATGGAGGAAGAGATCAGTTATGCATCTAAAAGCCGAGGAATGCTAAGGAGTGCTGGCCATCACCAGAAGTTAAGAAAAGGCAAGGAAAGATTCTACTGACTCTCAGAAGGAGTATGGCACTATTGACACCTTAATTTTTGACTTCTAGGCTACAGAACTGTGAAAGAATAAATTTCCTTGTTTGGAGCTAACTAGTTTGTAGTATTTGGTTTTGGCAACTGTAGGAAACAAATACAGTGCCCTATAAACTATAAAACATTTTATTATTATTATTTCTTTCATTCATGGTATACTTTATCCTTGTATAAAATTTAAAAATCAGATGGCATTAACTTCCTAGGTATCATAATGATAAAAATACTATGATATGAATATCTTGGTAATTTTCCCCCCAAATACAACAATTTTGTTTGTTTAAAAAAACATAAAGATTACTCAGTCACTTTTATGCTTAAATATAGAAATTATCCCCTTTTGCATCATATCCAAACACCTCTCCACATGTACACTGAAACTTTGTACCTTCCACTAAGTCACACTGTTCTAATTGCCTTTGCAGTAATGCTTGGTGTCAGATTCTGTATTTATTTAGAGAAGGAAAAGCTGTAATTTTCAGTATTTAATCAAGATCCAGATATTTAAATGCAAATTTAGCAAATATTTATTGAGCACTGATTATGTGCCAGATACCTTTCCAGGCATTGAGGAAGTAGTAGTGAATAAAACACTCAAAAATCCCTGTCCTCACGGTGTTTACTTTGTGAGGGGAAACAAATGATAAAATAGTGGAATGAATAGTATGTCAAATGCTGGTAACTTTTATGTAGAAAAAGAAGGCACAAGTTAAGGAAAGGGCCTTCAATTTGAATAGGATTGGTATGGATGCCTCCCTTAAGTGACATTTATGCACAGGCATAAAGAAGGTGAAGAGGCAAAACACAGGTCAAGAGCTGAAGTGGGAAGATGTTTGGCATGTTCAAAGAACTGCAAAGAGGCCAGTGTGGATGGATCAAAGTGGAGTGGAATAAGAGGAAGAACACTAGAAGTTGAAGGCAAAGAGGTAACAGGGTCAGATCATGAGGAGCTTTATAGGCCACTGTAAGGACTTTGGTTTTATACAGATAAGATGGGAAACAACTAAAGGGTTTTGAGCAGAGGAGTTAAATTGAATTTTTCTTATTTATGTTTTAAAAATATTTTTTTGTCTGCTATATTGGAAACAGAGTATTGTGAGTAGAGGGAAGGTAGAAAGAAGAAGACCAGTTAGGAGGCTACTGAGATTAACCACATGAAAGCTGACAGAAGTTCAGACCAGACTAATAATGATGAAAGGAGCTCTGGTGGTGTAGTGCCTAAGGCGTTTGACTGCTAACTGGAAGGTTGGGGGTTGAAACCCACCAGCCATTCCATGGAAGGAAGATTGGGCAATCTTCTTCTGTAAAGAGTTACCTCCTCAGAAACCCAAAGGGGCTGCTATGAGTTGGAATCAACTTGATGGTAGTGAGTTTGGTTTTTGGTTTAACAATGATGAAGATAGTGCGAGGTAGTGAATTCTGAATATATGTTGAGGGAAAAGTTAGTAACTTGCTGACAGGTATTGAAGAGATTGAGTTGTTGTTGTTGTTATGTGCAATCGAGTCAAACCCAACTCATAGCGACCCCTGCTTGGGTTTCCAAGGCAGTATCACTATGGAAGTAGGTTGCCCCATCTTCTTTCCAAGGAGTGGCTGGCTGGTGGGTTTGAATCGCCAGCCTTCTGGTTAGCAGTCAAATGCCTTAGGCACTATGCTACCAGAGCTGATTGAGAGAAAGTAAGAAATCAAAGATGACTCCAAGATATTTGTCCTTAGCATTAAATAGGGGAGAAGCCAGGAAGTAGAGCATATTTTGGATAAGTGGAGATCAGAAGTTTGGCTTTCTACATGCCTATTAGACTTTGAAGTAGAGCTATTACGTAGGCAGTTGGATATAAAAATCTAGAGTTCAAGAAGAGTAGACATCTTGAGTGAAGCTTTTCATTTGTAGTTGTCAACCAATAGATGCTAGTTAAAACAAAAGAGTGTGTGAAGTCACCAAGGGAGTGAGTATAAATGAACATGCCCAAGGAGGCTCTCCATAATTAATATGTGAAGGAGATGAGTAGAAATCTACAAAGGAGACCAAAAAGCAGTACACAAAATGAGGAAAACAAGGTGAGTGGTGTGCTCTGGTAGCCAAAGGAAAAAAAAGTGTCTCAAGGCTAAGGAGATGATAAGCCAAATTTTCATGCTGAATTTTGGGTATGAGATTTAACAAGTTGGTAGTCACATATGGTTTTGATAAGAACAGTTTGGGTGTGTTGTTGGAGATAAGACCTGACTGGATGGGTTCAAGCAAGAATGTTGGTAGTTGCCATTGAATCAATTCCAATTCATAGCAGCACCTCAGGTGTACAGAGTAGAACCATGCCATAGGGTTTTCAAGGCTGTGACCTTTTGGAAGCAGATTATCAGGCCTACCATCTGCTGTGCCTCTGGCTGGGTTCAATCCACCAGCCTTTTGGCTAGTAGTTGAATGCTTAATCACTTGCAACACCCAACAGCACCTTAAGTGAGAATGGAGATTAATATTCAGTGTTAAAATAGTTTTGTTTTGACACTCTAGATTTGCAGTGGTTCCTTCACTATAGCCAGTTTTGCTTTCATTATGAAAAAAAATTAATATTGATTTTGAATTTATAAAACACATATTCAAAAATCATTATATGTGGTCAACACTGGAAAATAAAGTGGACCATAACAAAACTATAGCACAATAAACTAGTCTATATAGATAATCTAATCTATACAGGCGTTTTCATATTTGGAAGTGGGTTTAGAGAGTTATCTTAAAAAAAATTGTTAGCCGTAGGTGAGGCAATATTACTCTCCATGACCCAATTTAACTTCACTCACCAGCCAACAGCCACCTTTTCAGAATAGTCTCTAATTTTTAAGTTAGTACAGACTGCTACAATGATAGCTTGCAAAAGAAGACAAAAGACCTCAGTGAAAATTCTGCTCTTATTACTTTGCCCTTGCAAGTCAAAGTTAATTGGAAGATAAATAATTATCTTCTAAACTAGTCTAGGATTTAAGAAATTCTGTTATAATCTGTAATCTCCACTGTTACCATACAATCTTTAAACAAACACAAGTAACTTTATTTGTCTGGCCCTTATGTAAAATGATATACTGTTCTTCAGTGGCAGAATGTGTTTAAGTACAACTTAATAAACGTAAAGTTTGGTATCTAGAGTTTCTGGTAGTATCTGGGCATCAAATTAGACTTGAAATTATGGTTCACCACAGTCATTTCCTTTCCCTAAAACAAGCATCTTTGTTAAATTAGCAGACTTTACCACAAGATTCTGTAGTCCATTGTTGTTTTACCTCAAAATTCAAAAATAATTTCCCTCATTGTATAAAATTGTTTAAACTGATATTCCAAAACTGTACTAGGAGTCATCTGGTCTACACCTGTGCTCTTATTTCTGTACTCTAAAACTTTTTGACTCAAATTACTTTCATAGACAATTAGGCCTATGAAATAGATTTCTTATTCTTTCAAAATCCCCATAAGACTTTCTTAGTTCCCTCAGGTATCAAGAGAAGTCTCTGATGGTCTTTTATACAGCCATTTGTGACTGTTTTCTCAAAATCTGCGAAAATATGGGCAAACCCTGAAAACAGGTTAAAAAACAGAAACAAAAACAAACTCAGTGCCAACGAGTCCTTTCTGACTCATAGTGACTTGACAGCACCTAGCAACAAGAAGTCTGGTAGCATAGTGGCTCAGGAACTTGACCGCTAACCAGAAGGCTGGCAGTTCAAACCCACCAGCCACTCCTTGGAAGGAAGATAGGGCAATCTACTTCTGTAGCGATACTGCCTAGGAAACCCAAGGAGGGGTCACTATGAGTTGGGGCCGATTTGATGGTACACAACAACAATGAAAAAAGAATTTTTTAAACAGATTATTCAATACACCAGTGTTTATTTTAGTATTGTTTCATGGTTTTGATACAAAAAGATATATATAACTATCAAAAAATATAAAAATAGTCTTTAAAGTAAGAAAATCATTAATATGTTTCAAACAGTTACTCAAAATAACCTTGGCTTTGTGGAGATGCTATGCTAGCTTCAGAAGACCTCTTTCTTCACTGCATTATCAGATTAACATGGATCTGCATAACTTAACATACTTCCTTCACTAATTTTTGGGAACTCTTTACAGATTGGTGAACTCCTAAGAGATTAGAAAGATTCTCTACTTTGTAGGGAGTTGAGGGAAATAATGCATTTTATGCTCACAATATGCTTTATAAAAATAAATATTATCTCAGATCACTTTACAGGCTATGAGTGCGGTCTTTGTTCCTTTAAGTATTTAATAGCAGACGAGATTCCTCTTTTTCAACTCCCAGAACTTTTACACACAATATTTCTGACATCTGGAGAAGATTTCTGGATAGCCAATTGGAACAGCTTCGTCCATCAACTGGTCAAAACTGCCACCTATTGGTCAGTCTTCAAATATACTTTTCAGTTCATGCAAGCATCATTGTCTTACCATGGTAAAATCTCTTCCTTCAAAACAGTAAAGGGCAATTACAATAACCAGACTTAACACAAAACTTAACAAATCTACCCTATCTTAGGTGAACAAAAACTGAAACTTCACAAACCTGCCAATAAAATCATCCCTTTTCCCAGCATCTTTGTCCCAAGCAGTGATATCAATGATTCCTCCTCTTTCTTCATAGAGATGAAAATCAAACTGTTCCCTCCACTGAGGATTCAAAGTTTTTGGCATAATCTAGAAAAATAAAAAAATCCATCAATATTAGTCTTTAAAAATTTTAATTTATTCACAAAATCAAAGTTTAGGTACTACCTAAAAAACCATGTTAGTGTACTATTTGAGCAAAAGATCCAGACATTATGGAAATGAGTTTGTAACATCTTTATTGCTTATCTTCTGAAAGAATCCTAAAGCATACATCCTGAAACTCAAAAGGCACCGCCTGATCATCCTGAATAGCAGATAAGAGATATGAATTATATAGAAAAGGAAAATAGACTATAAATGAAAATAGTTCCCTCAGATACTATCATTTCTTTTAAATAATCATGGTTAATGGATGAAGACACAGAAGTCGTATGCATTCATCTCATAACAGAGGAAGATGAGAGTTCCCAGAGTTTTTCTTTTTCTTACTCCTCTCACATACTGAAATTCTGAGTTGAATATGTCCAAACTAGACAATGAAGTTCTGTGAGAGTGTGAGGAAAAAGTAAATCACTTTGGGGTGGGCAGGTAAACTTTTCCTCAGAGTTATAGCACTGATGTGTCATCTCCATTTTATATGTGGAGAGACTGAGGCCTGGAGTTTAAGTGGCCAAGCTAAAGTCACTAGTTAGTATCTACAGACTAACTCAAGATTTTGACTACACCTTCAGAATTTTCTCCAAGGCCATGCTCAAAAAATGTTTCCCAATTAAAAAATAAATATATTATTACATATATATATATATGGACCTCTGGTAGCATAGTGCCTAAGGCATTTGACTGCTAACCAGAAGCCTGGTGGTTCAAACCCATCAGCCACTCCTTGGAAGGAAATTTGGGCAATCTACTTCCATAGTGATACCGCCTCGGAAACCCAACGAGGGGTCGTTATGAGTCGGGTCTGACTTGATGGCACATAACAACAATATATATATAATCTCCATGTTACAGATACAAGAATGATGTGTCCTAAAAATCAAAAGGCACCCCTTGATCATCCTGAATAGCAGATGAGAGATACGAATTTTATATATTTTTATAATATATATATAAATTTATGAATGTCTACATTTTTATAATATATATATGTACATATGTAGAAATTCATATTTATGTATATATATATATGTGTGTGTATATATATATACCATTTTGTAACTTCAAGTAGCAAAATAAGATATCTGATTGAATCAGTGAACAATGTGATCTATATTGATGTATTTTGAAATTCTATCTACCATTGGAGTAAACAAAATTTATGTTTGTTCCCCTGGTCTTTCTTTTTAGCAAGGGAGCATCTACAGCCCTTTTCTCTTTTTAATGTATGACAGACAAATCTTCAGATGTAAAGAGTTTGAAAGTAATGAAGTATGGTATGTGCAAAGGTAATGCTAATGAATCACAATTTTTAAAGTTCATAATCTGAAATTAATCAGCAATAGATCATGGAAGGAAAGAGCAAAAAGAGACACGTGTCCACAGCTGGGTTTTATATTTCATATCTAAAGAGCAGCACTATAAAAATAAGTAATGTTTTAAGCCTACTAGAACATGGAAATGGTGTTAATTGGTAAAGGAAATGATAGAAGTGGTCATAGATATCTATTTTTAGAATCAATAGCTTCTTCCCAATACATTATTAAGCCCCATGGTGGGAAAAATATAGATGGCACCAGAGGAATGCTGTGATAATTCAAATGTCTCATAATGGGCTCAGATGAACTACTATGGTGTTTTGGAGAGCAGTTCATCTTACTTATTTGGCCTTATACAATCAAACTTTTCAGTTTTCTTTTTCAGGATTGTCTTCCTTTTATGATTTTGTCAGGTCATAAATCATGCCTTCCTTTTTCATGTCGGCATTCAATAAGGTAACCAATCACCGAGCTAGTGAGCTTCTCATCTGCTAATGAGCCAATCTGTGATATTTCTAACCACTTTATATACTGACTAGGAGCCCTGGTGGTGCAGTGTTTAAAGTGCTCAGCTGTTAACTGAAAGATCAGTGGTTCAAACCCACCAACTGCTCTGTGGGAGCAGTCTGCTTTCATACAGATGACAGCCTTGGAAACCATATGGGGTCTCTATGAGGATGAATTGATTCAGCAGCAATGTTTTTTTGGTTGATTTAAGTACTGATGAAAACTCTGAGGGCTAGAAGAAACTTGGGCAGACATTTATCAAAAACTCACAAAAAAAGATGACACCAAGGTGAAAGAATTTCATCAGAGCAGAATGTGATCTTTAATACAAGATGAATGTAATAATTTGTCCCAAGCTATCTATGAATATTGACTATAAGAACTGACCATTACAGAGGTCTTATTTGAATAAAACACAGATAAGACATGTGCCCAAAAGATGACGACTATGATTTTTACTATTATTACTTCCGTCAATAATAAAATAATAGCATTGATATAATATTATTACTACTAATGGTAGTAAATGACAGTAGATATTTGTCTTTTTGTTTATAAATAAATAAAAAAACCTTGCAGTATGCATTGGTACTCATTAGTTTGAATAAAATGACTCATAAAGATGTACAAAAATGTTTTGTCATGTAAAATAATGCTATTTGCAATGCTCATACTACTAGCAGTAATAGTAGTGATACTAACAAGCCAGTAGTTTTGAGTATTTGATATACCTGGCATTGACCTATGTTCTTTGAAGTTTTTAAAAAACTTTCATAGCCATGCTTAAAGTGAGGTAGTTCTATTATTTGTTTTATGTTTGATGAAATTGAGACATGGAGAAGTTAAGTATTTTCTCACTTACTGTCCTTGAGTCGGAGCCGACCCCTAGCGACCCCTCCTTGGGTTTCCGAGGTAGTATCACTAGGGAAGTAGATTGCCCAATCTTCCTTCCAAGGAGTGGCTGGTGGGTTTGAACCACCAGCCTTCTGGTTAGCAGTCAAGTGCCTTAAGCACTATGCCACCAGAGCTTCCATTCCCATGCTCATATAACTCATAAAGTAAGAAATGCAATATAAATGTTGGTCTTGTTATCTGAGGCTGATATTAAAAAGATGGTCTATTAAGTATTTTACAAAGTATCTAGTGTTTTCATCTTTCAATGTATGACTTTTAACCAACCACTGCCTTCCAAATACTGATGGGACCACAATAGAGATATGGTTACCTTGCTCTTGTATTTCTGATGTCCAAGCCGGAACTTCACATAGGGGTCACTCAACCCGTTTGAATCCATTGCCTTGAGGTCCCGTCCCTCAATTAAGGTGATACTGACTATTCCTCTCCAAAGGTGTGATTTTTTATGTAGGTCTGACAGTCGTAAGCTTTGGGTCTGAAACTTTTGGCAAAGGAGAACTGAGTTGGCTTACTGCATTTTAAACCAAACATCTCATCTGGCATTACCCTTGTTACAATTTCAAAAAATGGCAGTTGCTATTTTTCAAAAACAAAATTTTTTTTATGACATTATTAATTAATCATTAATTAACATTATTAGTAAATTATTAAGTTATCATCTTAAGTTAAATGTAAAAGCTATTGTGTATAAGATGTAAGTGCTCAAAATATGGGCAGTGTAACTTTCCTACTCTTAAAATTATGAGACATAAATACTTAAGAATATCAGAAAATATTTGTATATATATGAAATACACCTGGATCAAAATATGCATAAAATAAATGTAAATACCAAAGATTTCATCCCACTGTGATATTTAATTTTCAACCTATTTTTTTCATGTTATAAATGGATTTACAGGTGGCTTTTTACCTGAAAGATTAATTACAAATTCTTTGCAGATAACTGAAAATTTTTTCTTGTCACATTAGGAAACAAATAAATTGAGTTTCAGCTCACTGAAGATCTACTTAAGGTACTAAAACAAAATCAATATACTCCCCAAGATGTCTTGTCTGATACTTCTATCACAAGCATTTAACATTATTTTAAAAATTACATACGTTATTTACATTGGCAGACATGTTTCCAAATTTATTTCTCATTCCAGTATTTGAATATTTTCTTTCATGATTTTTATTATTCTAAATTCTAAATCACAATATTCACACCAGTGCACAAAATCAGAATTTTAAAAATTAGTCAGTATGTAAAATGGCCATATAATATCATTGAGCAAAATAGCATATGTTGTTGTTGATAGGTGCCCTCGAGTTGCCTCTGACTCATAGTGACCCTACATACAACAGAATGAAACATTGCCCAGTCTTACACTATCCTCACAATCCTTCCTGTATCTGAGCCCATCATTGTAGTCACTGTGTCAACCTGTCTTTTTGAGAGCCTTCCCCTTTTTCATTGACCCTCCGCTTAACCAAGCATGATATCCTTCTCCAGGGAATGGTCCCTTCTGATAACCTGACCAAAGTAGGTGAGATGGAGCCTGGCCATTCTCGCTCGCAAGAAGCATTCTGGCTGCATTTGTTCCAGGACAGATTTGTTAGTTCTCCTAGCAATCCATGGAATGGAACGTTTAGTATTCTTCACCAACACCACAACTCAAAAGCATCAAAAGCATCGTCTGATTTTTTAACTGCTGCTTCCATTGGTGTTGATTGTGGAAACAAGTAATATGAAATCTTTGAGGACTTCAATCTTTTCTTCATTTATCATGATGTTGCTTATTGGTCCAGTTGTGAGTATTTTTGTTTTCTTTATATGGGGATGTAATCCATACTACAGACTGTAGTCATTAATCTTCGTAAGTAAGTGCTTCAAGTCATCCTCACTGTCAGCAAACAAGGTTGTGTCATCTGCATATTGCAGGTTGTTGATAAGTCTTCCTTCAATCCTGCTGCCACGTTCTTCTTCATATAGTCCAATTTCTTGGATTATTTCCTCAGCATACAAGTTGAATAAGTATGGTGAAAAGGTACAATCCTGATGGACTCCCTTCCTGATTTCAAACCATGCAGTATCCCCTTGTTCTGTTTGAATGGCAGCCTCCTGGTCTATGTACAGCTTCCTCATGAACACAATTAATTCTTTTTGAATTCCCATTCTTGTCAGTACTATCCATAATTTGTTAAGATCCACACAAACAAATGCTTTTGCATAGTCAATAAAGCACAACTAAACATCTTTCTGGTATTCTTTGCTATCAGCCAAGATCCATCTGACATCAGCAATGATATCCTTCATCCCACTTCCTCTTCTGAATCCCACTTGTGTTTCTGGACGTTCCCAGTCAATAGACTGCTGCAACTGTTTTTGAAGTATCTTCAGCAAGATTTTACTCGTGTGTGATATCAATGATATTGTTTGATAATTTCCACATTTTGTTGGATCACTTTTCTTTGGAATGGATACAAATATGGATCTCTTCCAGTCAGTTGGCCAGGTGACTTCCAAATTTCTTGGTATAGACAAGTAAGTGCGTCCAGAGCAGCATCTGTTTGTTGAAACATCTCAATATGTATTCCATCAATTCCTGGAGCTTTGTTTTTTTGCTAATTTCTTGAGTACAGCTTCAACTTCCTCCTTCAATACCATGGGTTCTTGATCATACGCCACCTCCTTAAATAGATGACCATTGACCAATTCTTTTTGGTACAGTGACTCTGTGTATTCCTTCCATCTTCTTTTGATGTTTCTTACATTCAATATTTTGCCCATAGAATCTTTCAATGTTGCAACTCGAGGCTTGAATCTTTTCTTCAGATCTTTCAGCTTGAGAAATGCTGAGTGTGTTCTTCTTTTTTGGTTTTCTAGCTCCAGGTCTTTGCACATTTCATTATAATAATTGACTTTGTCTTCTTGAGTTTCTCTTTGAAATCTTCTGTTTGGCTCACTTATCTTGTCAAATAGCATATAGAGCTTATTACTGGCAATGTTAGGTAGTACCACATTGGTTCTGATCATAGCAACTCTATGTAAAACAGAATGAAACACTGCTCAGTCACATGCCATCTTTACAACTGTTGCTATGTTTGAGCCTATTGTTATAGCCACCGAGTCAATCCATTTTGTTGAAGGTCTTTCCCTTTTTCCCTGACCCTCTGTTTATAAGCATTATGCCTTTGTCCAGGGATTGGTCCCTGCAAAGTAAGTGAAGTGAGATCTAGCCACCCTTGCTTCTAAGGAGAATTCTGGCTGTACTTCTTCCAAGACAGATTTTTTTTCTTCTGGCAGTTCATGGTATGTTCAATGTTGTCTGCCAACACCATAATTCAAATGCATAAATTCTTGTTTGGTCTTCCTTGTTCATTGTCCAGCTTTAACATGCACATAAGGCAATTGAAAATATCATGGTTTAGGTTAGGCGCACCTTAGTCTTCAAAGAGACATCTTTGTTCTTCAGCCCATTAGGGAGGCCTTTTGCAGCAGATTTGCCCAGTACAATATGTCATCTGGTTTCTTGACTACTGCTTCCATTGGTGTTGATTGTGGATCCAAATAAAATGGAATTCCTGACCAACTTCCATCTTTTCTCCATTTATCGTGATGCTGCTTACTGGTCCAGTTGTGAGGGTTTTTGTTTTCTTTGTATTGAAGTGTAATCCATACTGCAGCGTGTAGTCTTTAGTCTTTATCAGTAAGTGCTTTAAGTCATCTTCACCTCATCTTTTGCTAGTGTCTTCAGCGCAGGTTGGACTTCTTCTTTCAATACCATTGGTTCCTGATCATACGCTGCCTCCTGAAGTAGCTGAACATTGATCAATTCTTTTTGGTACAGTGACTCTATGTATTCCTTCCATCTTCTTCTTTTTTATTAAATATTTTTTTACAGTGATTTCGGGGAAAGTTCACAGAGTAAATTGATTTTCCATTCAACAATTTATCCACCTTTTGTTTTGTGACATTTATTGGAATCCCCACAATGTAACAGCACTCTTCCCACTTCCTCCGTGTGTTTACTCTCCCATTCTTCCTTCTTTCCTATCCCTTCCTGGCTTCTGAACTTTATCCCTGAGCGAATGCTGCACCTTTCATCTGGTATGGTTGATTTTTCTAAGAGGTGCATACCTTAGTTATTGTTCACCTTATATGCCGTCTATTGTGTGGCTGATAGTTGAGGCATGGGAGTGAGTTCAATTCCCAGCTTGAAGGGTGTGTAAGGCTATATAGCCTGAGAGGTTCCACCAGTTTCTACCAGACCAGTAGCCTGGTTTTATTATTATTATTATTGAGTTTAGGTCCACATTTTTCTTCTACTCTATCTAGGACCTCCTATTGTGATCCTTTACAGCATGGTCAGCAGTGGTAAATGGATACCATCTAGAGCTTCTAGTCTCATGACTGTGGAGGCTGGTGTTCAGATGGTCCATTAGGCCTTTGGACTAATTATTTCCTTGCATTTTTTATTTCCTTCACTCTTCTTTGCTCTGGATATAGAGAGATCAATAGTTGCAAATTAGATGGCCACTCACAAGCTCAATAGTGACCCTAGTTGCTTATTATCAAAGTAGGATGCAGAACATTGCCTTTGTGGACTTTGTTATGCCAACTGACTATGAAGTCCCCTGTGGCTATGGTCCTGAGCCCCCAGGCCCAGTGACTCATTTCATTAATGTGTTTTATTGTGGCTAAGAAGTTTTCATAAATTTGCCCCCTGTATGCTCTACTATATTTATAGATATATTTGCAGTACATATAGATATATATGTAGAAATGTCATCTGTCAAATCTCTAAATATTCATAGGTGTAGTCCCATTTGCCTTCTCGCACCAGTTCAGCTTGTGTGTCTGTCTATCTTTCATCTTATTTTGATGTTTCCTGTGTCATGAAATATTTTGACCATAGAATCCAAGATTAAAATTTGAGGCTGATTTTTTTCTTCAGTTCTTTCAGGTTGAGAAATACTGAGTGTGTTCTTCCCTTTTGGGTTTCTAACTCCAGGAAAACATTAACATTTCATTATCATACTTTATTTTGTCTTCTGCCCTTTGAAATCTGTTCTGTTCCTTTACTTCATCATTTCTTCCATTTGCTTTATCTATTTTATGTTCAAGAGCAGGTTTCAGAGTCTCTTCTGACATCCATTTTGGTCTTTTCTTTCTTTCCAGTCTTTTTAATGACTGTTGCTTTCTTCGTGTATGATGTTCTTGATGTCATCCCACAATTTGTCTGGTTTTCAGTCATTAGTGTTCAATGTGTCCAACCTATTCTTACAATGTTTTCTAAATTCAAAGTTGAACTTTAGCTCTCATGGACTTGTTTTAATTTTCTTCAGGTTCAACTTGACCTTGCATATGAGCAATTGATGGTCTATTTTGCAGTCATCCCTGGCCTTTCTCTGACAGAATATAGTTGACTATATAGTTTCTCTGATATAGTTGATTTGATTCTTGCATATTCCATCTGGTGAGATCCATGTGCA